GGGGATCCTGGACCCCTCCTCCGGCTGCCCCGCCGCGGTCGAGGAGTCCCTTCTCTCTCGCCTTGAAACTCCGGGTGTCATTGATTGAGTTCCAGCGCCCAGACCTGCTGAGGCCAGCCAGTCCTGCCTTTAAGCCTTTTTTCTCCTTGGCCTAAAGAGTGAGAATACGCCTCGGGTTGCTGCAGGAATGAGCACAGAGACAAAGGGTGTGGGAGGGAGGGGAGGAAAGAAAACAGAAAAGGAGAGAAATTATTACCGTTGAACACAAAGATCGCCTTCGCTTACACCACCGTGGTGGATATTTTCCCCGGCCAAAAATCCGTTCCATCACATAATAATCACAACCTTAATCATAATCTTAAGAGCTGCAGATCGAATAAGGCCGATGCTCGAGTAAAAGGAGTTCGCTTGCCCTACGTCAGCTTTAGGTCTTGCACCTAAAGAGGTCGAGATCTTGGACATGAACGCACAATACACTCACACCTACAAGGCCAGACCGTCTGTGGTTGTGGGTTTGTTTTCGATTGTGAGTTTATCGTGGACGGAGGAAGACCCGTGGGGAAGGGCGACAAGAACCACGCAGACGCCTGCACGGATGAAGTGAGCCGCAGCAAAGGGAAAGTTTAGGCCGAATAAAAACGAGCAGTCTTGAGGTGTCACATAAGATTCTAGGTTTTCCTGCAACGCGGCAAACCAGCCCCCACCCCGCCCCCAAATTAAAATAGAGTGAGGCAAAGAGAAATCCAAACCAAAAGAAACGTGTAAGTGATAAATACTCTTATGAGTGGGGTTCGATCCCAACCCGGCGACAAGCAAAAGATGCGAAGGAAACTCGCCCCTTTCTGTACACACACACACACACATCCGCTGAGCCCAGGGAGAAAACGCCTCCAGGAAGGGCCCCCGGAGTGTCCGCTGGCTGAAAGACGCCACTGTTTGTAAATTTCACGCGGGAGGTTGTAAATAAAACTCCGGAGTTGTTCATCTGTTTATGAGCATTAGATTATCAGGCAGAAGGCAATAAATTTTTGGCCTTTATTTGCAGATCTTTTATAAATAGCCCAGGCCGTGTTTTGGTAAATATAACTGAGCCCGCTACTAAATTACGTCCCTTATGAGCCTTTAATTGCCAGAAGTCGTTTCCGTTAAAAGTTTTCGGCAACCGGACTGAATAAATAATACGAAGTTTATACAGGCGCTGGAAAAACATAAACTCATAACTGTGCGGAAGCTTTTTTTTTTTAAACCCTTATGCATTATTTCTAAGCAAACCACTTATATTTATTTTTCAGTCGCTTTTCCCCTTCTACTCAACCCTCAGTTTTTTGTTTTGCTTTTTTTTTTACTAGCGATCTCAAAGCGAAGAAATAAAATTGGGTCCAAGTCTCCCCCTTAAATAACACACACGCTGACACCCCCAACCGCCCCCACTTCATGCGGCTGCTGATGCAGACGGAATTCTAAAGGACGAATGCATATCGAGGCATAATTTTCAGGAAACAGTCAAAATTGATCTTGCAATGGATAGGGTTTTTTTTTCCCCAGCAACCAGAATAAGTACAACTGAATACCCGAATTCCCTGTCGATCGAATTTGGTTGATATTGTCTCGATATAAGGGAATTGACCCTCGCAATATTCTGAGTTGTAACGGTGTTAGTTTCCAGTATGTATATTAACAAGCGAAAATAATCAACATTAAAAAACCACACTCGAAGTGTTGCGGCACATTTACAAGAAACACTTTTACTTTAGTTTGAGCTTGCCTGGATTACCATCCGCTGCTTCAGAGGCAATGCAGTACAACGATACTGTTAAGTCTTAGATACCACAGTACTTTGGTTTGAGACTTAATAAACTACAGGCTGGAGTTGACAGAACCAAACTGAACCTACTAGGTGCTTGAAGTTTTGTGGGGTTTTGTTTGTTTGTTTGTTTTTCTTTTTGCACCAGTACAGCTCTTTGTGAGAGCGGTGTTGGGGGGAACAAGAGACTTCACGCCGGTGTCACTGTATTCTATGCCCCTAAGCTGGTACCATGGAAGACCTGATGCTAGCAGCTCCCAAATGCTCTGGATGTTGCCCCTTACTTGGTGGAAGTTGTCTGGTATCTTTATTACTTGCACTGTGGTGCTCCTGAGACAAAGAAAGAAAGGCTTCGGTTTGGTGGTGGTTGTGGGTTTTTCGGGCTCTTTGGCCGTGTGCTGAAGGTTGTTCCTCCCGACGTTTCATCAGTCTCTGTGGCCGGCATTTTCAGAGGGCTGAGCATGGACAGAGTTCCTACTCCAGTCCTCTGAAGATGCCGGCCACAGAGACTGGCGAAACGTCAGGAAGAACAACCTTCAGGACACGGCCAAAGAGCCTGAAAACCCCACAACAACCATTAGATCCCCGCCGTGAAAGCCTTCACGAATACTTCGGTTTGGGTTTTCTTAATTCATGTTGATGGCTCTAGAAATGAGCTGAAATGGCTAGCCAAATTCTCTCTTTCAGAAGGGCAGAAAGGCCCCCACAGTATCCCAAAGGGGAGGGGGACTGGGATCTTGCTCCCCCGCCCTGTCTAAGGGGTTTCCCCCTGCATTCCCGTTGCTCCAAATAAATGGTGGAGAACGGGACAGAACTGAGTGGATGCATTGCTTTTCTTGAAGGGGGTGGGCATCCCCATTCTCTACCTGGCTGTCTCCCCATCGATAACTCTAGATATCTATCCATCCACTCTCCTCTAACCAGCCATTTGAACAGAAATACAGTACTGTATATTGGAAGGACCCAGAGGCCTCCTTGGTTTCATTCCGCTTAGATTTCAGCGACCAAGTACATAGTCCTGGAGACAGTAACATGGGACTTGGTCCCACGGAATAAAATGGGCCTGCCTTCTGAGCAGACCTGTCCAGCAATGCCCTACCTAAACGGCAGCAGGCAGGCCTCGACTGAGTGATTTGACCTCTGGGCATACCCCTATGTTCTTCCTCCCTGAAAAGCCCCCAATGGAAGTCCTTATGGAGCTGTATTGAAACATGGTTTTGGGGTGGGGGTGGCAGGTGGACCTACACAACCGCCCCCTCCCCACAAATCGGCAACTGGCATTGCACACATGTTGTTTACCTATTTCAAACTGATATTCTTAGTTTTACATTCTAACTTCTTTCCTTCTTTTCCAACGACCTGGCCTCCTGTCAATCCTTCCACAATATGCAACAGGTATACAAGCCATCTCCATGTAGTTAAAAACATGATTTAGTCTTGTCTGTCTTAAACTTCACTTTCTCAATAAATGTAGTTATTTTTTATTTTAACTGCATCGCATATGTTTTTATGGGTCCGCACTGGGACTGACCTCCGGGGGAATCTATATTAAGGGAAGCACCCACTCTGCCAATACCCAACAAACGGGGCTTGAGGATGGAGGGCAGGATTCCACCACCTAAAAAGCGAAGGTCTGTTGGAAAGAGGTCTGTCCAGTCTCTCCCCCCTTCTTCCTCACCTCCACACACCCCGAACTATTTAAAATTAATTTTCGCGACTGGAAAAAAGCTTGTGAAACCCTTTGCTAACCTCCACCCGACCAAGTTCTGCAGAATGACTGGCTTTCCGGGCCCTAGATTTCTTGGCCCCGGGAGACAGAAAAGTGTAGATGCTCAGAGGGGCGTGGGAGAAAATTCTGTACAGAACGCAACGAGCCCTGCCGAAAAATTTCAGGCCGGATCTAAAAGCCTGTGATCCTTCCTAAACGTTGCTTTTTCTCGGACGGATTCCGACTCCCGCCTGTCCCATCACCCACGCTCCTTTCCATCCTGTACTTGCGCGGTCTTTGAGGGATGGCCCCCTGGTCCTGCCTCTCCCAGTGGGGCGCGGCCCCAAGGCAATCCCCGCTTCCCGAATGTATGGGGCTCCATTTCCCGCTGGAAATCGGGAGCCAGAGAAAGGCCCGCTGAGGCCCTCCTCGGCCAGGAGACGCGCCGCCCGCTCCAAACAAAAGGCGTCGGGCCTTCACGGAGCCCCAGCCTCGGCCCGAAGCGACCAAGGCGCTCGCCTACCCCCCC